TCCTGCATTGTGATTCTAACTAGATGAATATCCAGTGTTTACATATTATGACTGTAAATGCTCCCACAGCTAAACCACAATTACTTTCCATTTCTACACAGTCTTAGTTTTTCCTATAATTAATACAGTAATTGTCTTTTTTTTCCTTCAGTCATTAAGTGTCGGAGTTTCCTTTGTGTTTAATTAATTCAAGCCGAAATTCTGTTAACTATGTGAATCTCTTCTTACGCTTAAAAGCATCAAATGGTCTATCAGTTTCCTCTCACTAAAAAGGTTTCTGTTTTGGACTCTGGGGCTGCTATAGGCAGGTACATCAAGGCCGTTTTAGGGGTCACCATTTGCATTCCTCCAGATTTGAATTCTATGTTATCACAATGGTTTTGTTTTCCTCCGCGTTTTTTCTTTTTCTTTTTCTTTTCTTTCTTCTTCTTCTTTTTTTTTTTTTTTGGTTTTGGTTTTGGTGGTTTTTGAAACAGTCTAGTTCAAGCTGATCCTCCTGTCTCAGCCTCCCAAGTGGTAGAATTACAGGTGTGTGCCACTATACCCAGCTTTTTTTTTTCTCATTACCATACAAATTTCTAACGTTTCTGGGTCTTGCTCCCTTGTTCTTTTGAGTGTCCAGACAAAAGGTGCTGAAACTCCCACAGAGGGTATCAGTCTCTCCCCCAGCAATATGGCATATGGATGCAAAAGAAAGACAGAATTCTGCAGTTGAGGAGCTCTGGGAGGACCCGCAGGGCTACGGAACAAAGGGCCATAAGTCCAAGAACTCATGGCTTTTATTGGTATCAATCAGGGAGGTGGGTGGGGGGTCTCGGCAGAATGCTGGAGAAGAGAACTTTGCAGGCCCTGACTGTAAGGAGAAACAGAGCACCTTTGCACCAAGCACAGAGGGCCCCCAATTAGCAGTGCAACAGATAGTTTGATACATGCAAGGCTGGCACCTGTACTGCCAGTAAGGTATAATTCTTTATCTCATGTCATAAGCCCTAGAATCTCACAGGCTCTTGCTCTGTCATTCCAATTCCTAACCTTCGTATGTGGCCTGTTTTTCTTCCCCTTCTCCTCATTTACTGGTAATAGGCCTTCATCTATTTTTTTTTTTTTTTGTCTTTTTCATTTTTATCGGTACCAGGGATCGAACTCATGACCACCTGCTTGCAAGGTGCTTATGCCACTGAGCTAAATCCCCAGCCCCGCCTTCACCTATTTTCCTTGGGGTGTCTTTTAGTCATTTGTGTGTCATGCCATTTGTTCTGACTGAGAACATTTCTCTGATTTTCCCACCTTCTTTCCTGTCCTGGACAGTTTTTCCCTCTTGTTCATTTCTTTTATTTCTGGAACTCATCTGAGTTTGCTATTGAATTTGATGGACGGTCCATTTCTTTTATTCTGCCTTTCTGTTTTACTTCCTGATTTTCATTTTTCTTCCACCCCTTAGTTAAGCTTTTCATTTCTGCTTACCTATGTGATTGTGTGTGTGTCTATATTTATAGTGCTAGTACTATATAGACAATACCTCTACCACTGAACCATACCCCTCGCCAAGCACATTTTTAATTTCTTCTTCTTTTTTGGTTTCTCAGTTGTTATGGTATTTTTATAAATTTCACAGTATACTATTCTATAGAATCTTATTCATGGTTCAAATCTCAATATCTTGTCTTATTTCTCTGATGATATTATGAGTAGTTTTAAAAAGTATTCTTCACACTGTGCATACCATGTTTCTACTCAGTCCTTTTGGGTTCAGGTTGCTGTCTACCTGATGTCCAGTGACCTTGGGCAGCCTGCTCGTGGTGGGGCTGAGGTTTGACATTCCCAGTGGCTATTCCAGGAGGGCACGAGGGATTTGTTGATTATGAACTCCATGTAGGGTAATCAGGACCATATTTATCAGGGCATTGCCAATGTTAGTAGTTTTTGGTCTCTTCTTGGGATATACATGAGATATGGTCAAAATACACAGGGAAAGTTTAAACTGTTAAACCATTAAAAACCCATTACCATTACATCTCTTTAAACTGCTCCTCCTGCCTTCAAATATGTTCAGCCCGTCATCCGGGTCCCTTTATGAAGCAGTTCTGGAAGCCCTCTTGCCTGAGTGTCTTCACAAGGTGTGATCAAAAATCAGCAAATGCTGGTCCTCAGCACCACCCAGTGGAAAGGCAGGCAGCTAAGAGCATCATGCTGGCCTCACCACCACTTGGTTCTCCAGATCGGACCTCATGTAACTTCTGGCTCTTCCCCAAAGTCAAAATGACCAGGAAAGGGAAATGTTTCTAGTTTATTCAGGACATCAAGGCAGCCATAACAGTGCAACTGAAGACATGAAAGACCTCTGACCTGGCATAGTGGCACACGCCTATGATTACAATCCCAGCACTTGGGAGGCTAAGGCAGGAGGAGTATCACTTTGAATGCCTTAAGTTCCAGGCCAGGCTGGGCTACACAGTGAGTTCAAGGTCAGCTTGAAGTGAGACCTTGTCTCAAAAAACCAATAATAATAATTTTAAAAAGGCCTAGACTTGTGCAGCCCAATATGGCAGCCACCAGCTTCTGATCATCAATGTTACTACGGAACCAGACTTTTAATTAAAATTGAAATGCAGAGTCAGAGGTGGCTAGTGATCCCCACTGGGAATAGTGCAAGAAAATTCCATCCGGTGAGGCACAAGGAGCCTGGCAGCCTTGGGGCTTTGGCAGGCAGCTCACTTTGCTGCTGAGGCGGCAGCCGCCTCCCAGGAGGGCAAGGAAAGGCAGCTAGGGGAGAAGGGAAACAGGGCTTCCCCGCCAGCCAGCATCTGCCTGCCGCCCAGTGAGGTCAGCTGCACACACAGGAGAGGCAAAAAGGAAACATCCAATGCCTTTCCCCTAAAGCTGTTTTTCAGTTTCTGTCAGAGTTAAAACATGCACGTGCACACACCTCAGGCATGTGCAGCCTGGAAGTCCCTGCTGCTTTCTCTATGGAGGACAGCTTCTGGCATCTTTCCCCAATACCACGGCCTTAGTTCTGAGGCCCCGCCCACTGCCTATCAGGGGTCTTAATTCATTGATTGGCCTTTTGTTGCTGTTGTCTTGTTTTTAATACTGGGTATCACTATGTAGTTCAGACTGGCCTTGAATTCACTGTGGAGCCCAGGCCTCCCAAATTACTGGGACTATAGGCGTGTACCACCACAGCCAGCCTTTTATTTATTTATTTATGTGTTTATTTATTTTGTCTTTTTGAGACAGGGTCTCATTATGAGTTCAAGTTGGCCTTGAACTCACTTTGTAACCCAAATTGGCATTGAACTTAGAGATCTTCCTGCCTCAGCCTCCTGCGACTACAGTGCAGACCACTGCATGTAGCTCACTCAGTGACTCATTAGGCACCACCTGTGTGCTGGTCCTTCACACCCCACGAACAGAGCTCTGAACCAGGCCAACTAGTAGTCTGCCCTCATGGAATTCAAAGCCAGTGAAGGGAGGTGAACAATATACCAGCTGGCATTTTATGGTGTGTGACAAGGCACAGATGCTTACACACCCAAACAAGGCAGGGTGAGTGAGTGGAAAGCCTGAGGAGGAGGCCCAGGGCCTGGAATGGAGCACTGCAGGTGTGGTGGGAAGCCTGGAAAAGGGAGAGGATGTTTGTAAAAAGAGGAGAGTGAGATAGGGCTGCCAGAGGTGACTTAGGTCACACTAAGCGGAGAGCCAGGGAGGGACCAGCATCAGCTCCAGTATTAAGACCTCTGGATGCATGTGAGCAGGGAATTATAATTTCCCCACAAACCTCCAAAGGCTGCAGGAAACACACTGGGTTTTCATAGTGATTTAAGAACTAGGAGGAGGAGGGAGCTGGAGTCTTGGATGGGATGGAGGCAGGCATTATACAACCCAGAACAAAGCCATCCATTCAAGGGTTCACTAGGCTGGGGGTGTGGAGGCCTGGGCTTTGGTACCGAGCTGTGGGAGCTGTGGGATCCGCCTTCAGAACGTTCCTCCACCGTTCCTAGCTTATAGCTTTCCCTAAAAGGCTCCTTGAGTCCCTCTCACTTTAAATTCTTCCCACTTAAAACGGAAGAGCAATTCACCTTTTGCCCCCAAGGGCATTTTCCTAAACAAAGAGAAACCTGGAGAGAAATTACAGTTTGCCTACTAGGCAGAAGTGCCCCAGGCAGTGGCAGTATTTTTCTCGCCTGTATATCCGGTTCCAGGTGTCAGCTGGGATCTCCCAGCTAATTTAGCAGGGCCAGGAGCTTTGGGATGGTGACTCCCTTCCCACCACCAGCTCAGTGTGCTTGGCTCCACCTCCTTGCACCATTTGGCTCCAGCCACTTAGCCTGGGGAGCCGGTACCTCACTGAATCTCCCACTCAGGGTGCATGGTTAACACAGACCCTTTTCTTCCTTTCCACACACAGATGTTTATGGGTGAGCACAGGAGTGTGCAGCCAGGGCTTCTGGGGAGGCTGAGGATGCAGGAGGATTTACATCAACAGACAGGGGTGTAGTTCAATGCAGGCAGGCTTGCCTAATATTTGACAAGCCCTAGTTTTAATCCCTACCACTGGTGGGGTGGGTTTAACCAAAACCAAACAAACCAACTCAGACAGATTAGCAAACCAAAAATCAAGGTTAAAGCCAGGAAGGGTGGTGCTTGCCTGCAACCCCAGCACTCTGGTAGGCTGGGCAGTCTCTAGGGGCTGGAGGCCAGCCTAGCCTGTTCAGTGAGTTCAAGGTCATTCTGAACTACTGTAATAGGCCAGTCTCCAAAGAAACAAAAAAAACACTGACAACAAGGACCATTTCTCCAGCACCTCCTTTGCATTAAGCAATGTCTAACCTTAGCAACCTTAGAATGGAGATGTTGCATTTACATTTTTCAGATGGTGAAGCAAAAGGCACTAGTGAGATTTCAGAGCAGGAGAGGCTGGCATGAGCCAGGCCTCACTAGGCCGCTGGGTGAGTGAGCGATGTGGGCTGACCCTGCCCTTCATGCAATCCTATCCTCAGGAAGCTGGATGCTTTCATCTATGATGCCGCTGTGCTCAACTACATGGCCCGAAAGGACGAGGGCTGCAAGTTGGTCACCATCGGCTCCGGCAAGGTCTTCGCCACCACAGGCTATGGCATCGCTTTGCACAAAGGCTCCCGCTGGAAGCGGCCCATCGATCTGGCACTCCTGCAGTTCCTGGGGGACGGTGGGGCTGCCTGCAAGGATTTCTGCCCAGGGGGTGGGGAGAGACAGGACCGGTGGGTCCTGCGAATGTAGGGAATGAAGACCTGGGTGCTAGGCCCAGGAGCAGAAGGGAAGGGGACTGGACTCCCATACCCAAGGGCAAGACCTCAGAAGATGCTCACAGCAGGTGACCCCTATCCCCTTCCCCAGATGAGATCGAGATGCTGGAGCGACTGTGGCTCTCTGGGATCTGCCACAACGACAAGATCGAGGTGATGAGCAGCAAGCTGGACATCGACAACATGGCCGGGGTTTTCTACATGTTGCTAGTGGCCATGGGCCTGTCCCTGCTGGTCTTCGCCTGGGAGCACCTGGTGTACTGGCGCCTGCGGCACTGCCTGGGGCCCACGCACCGCATGGACTTCCTGCTGGCCTTCTCCAGGGTATGCGGGAGAGGGCAGACGCGGGACCGGGAGATACAGGTGGGGAGGGGAGGCCCGGAAACTGGTGGTGGCGGGAGACCCCGGCCACCAGGGGCCGGGGAGGGAAGCCCCGCGCTAATCCGCGCTCCGGCCTGCAGGGTATGTACAGCTGCTGCAGCGCCGAGGCCGCCCCGCCGCCTGCCAAGCCGCCGCCGCCGCCACAGCCCTTGCCCAGCCCCGCCTACCCCGCGGCGCGCCCCGCGCCTGGCCCCGCGCCTTTCGTGCCCCGCGAGCGCGCCGCCGTGGATCGCTGGCGCCGGGCCAAGGGCGCAGGGCCCCCGGGGGGCGCGGGCCTGGCCGACGGCTTCCACCGCTACTACGGCCCCATCGAGCCGCAGGGCCTGGGCCTGGGCGAGGCGCGGGGGACGGCCCGGGGAGCGGCCGGGCGTCCACTGTCGCCGCCGGCTACGCAGCCCCCGCAGAAACCGCCGCCCTCCTACTTCGCCATCGTGCGCGACAAGGAGCCGGCCGACTCCGCCTCGGGCGCCTTTCCCGGGTTCCCGTCGCCGCCCGCGCCTCCCGCCACCGCCTCCGCCGCCGCTGCCGCCGTCGGGCCGCCGCTGTGCCGCCTGGCCTTCGAGGACGAGAGCCCGCCGGCGCCGGCGCGGTGGCCGCGCGCGGACCCCGAGAGTCAACCGCTGCTGGGCCCGGGCGCAGGTGGCGCAGGGGCCGCAGGCAGCGCGGGCGGTGGGGTCCCGGCCGCTCCGCCTCCGTGCCGTGCCGCGCCGCCGCCCTGCCCGTACCTCGACCTCGAGCCGTCGCCGTCGGACTCGGAGGACTCGGAGAGCCTGGGCGGCGCGTCGCTGGGCGGCCTGGAGCCCTGGTGGTTCGCCGACTTCCCTTACCCGTACGCTGAGCGCTTCGGACCGCCGCCTGGTCGCTACTGGTCGGTCGACAAGCTTGGGGGCTGGCGCGCCGGTAGCTGGGACTACCTGCCCCCGCGCACCGGGCCCGCCGCCTGGCACTGCCGCCACTGCGCCAGCCTGGAGCTGCTGCCACCGCCACGCCACCTCAGCTGCTCACACGACGGCCTGGACGGCGGCTGGTGGGCGCCGCCGCCCCCACCGTGGGCCGCGGGGCCCCCGCCCCGGCACCGGGCGCGCTGCGGATGCCCTCGGTCACACCCGCATCGCCCGCGCGCCTCGCATCGCGCGCAGGCGGCGCCCCACCACCACCGGCACCGGCGCTCCGCGGGGGGCTGGGACCTCCCGCCGCCCGCGCCCACCTCGCGCTCGCTGGAGGACCTCAGCTCATGTCCCCGCGCCGCGCCCGCACGCAGGCTCACTGGGCCCTCGCGCCACGCGCGCCGGTGCCCGCACGCTGCGCACTGGGGGCCGCCGCTGCCCACCGCGCCCCACCGGAGACACCGGGGCGGGGAGCTGGGCACGCGCAGGGGCTCGGCGCACTTCTCCAGCCTCGAGTCCGAGGTATGACTTGGCCCCGGGGGCCCTGTCGCCCCCTCGGTCAGCGCAGGCCACGGCCCGAGGAGGCGCGCGCAGTGGACAGGACCCACGTGGATTGGGGAGGAACCACAGGCAACTGGCCGGACCCCGCTTGGAGCAGCGTCCTGCGCCCCCTCGCACTGGGGGATCACGAGCCAGAGGGGATCTGGTCTGCCAGATCTCACCCAGCCAGAGAGCAAAGGGGGGGAGGGGGTCTTGGAGCCTACCCGACATTTTTTTAAAACCCGACAAGGGCTTTTTAACGTCACCAGAGGGGGCGGCAGGTGGAGGGTCGCGCCCCGCCCTGCCCCCACGCTCGGGGCTGTGGCCCCCACATCACTGTGCAGCTTCCCGGCCCCAGCCACGCCTCCGGGGAAGCCCGTTTTTAACCTTTCATCCATCGGGACTCAAAACTGTGAGACGCATTCGCCAAACTGTGACCCCAGACCTTTGCCCCGCCACACAGAAACCCCCGACCCCAGACTGTGACTTCCTCCAACACCTAAATGGTCTTCTGACCCCAGACTGTGCCCCGAATCCCAGACCGTAACCTTGATGTCAAACCGTGACAGCCCCCTCCTTTACCATCCTCGTCGGTTTTTCCCTATTTTGACCTAGGACCTATCCCCCAACTGAAGCCCCGCCTTCCCCTCCCAGGTTGATCCCAGCCCCCTTCAGCCTAAACTTCCCACCTTTCCCACCACCAGCACCAGCCCAGGTGCCACCAACCACATCCTCTCCAAATCCAGTCCTAATTTGTCACCATTCAGTGATGATCCAGCAGATCCACAAAAGCCTCCTCTTCCCAGATCTCCAGCCGGGCCTGGGATGGGTTGTGGAGGGGAGGGTCTGGGAGCCCAAACTTCACCACCGACCTTCTTTATCCCTCTTCTATTCCACATTGCAGTGTTTGGAATAAACCATGTTTTTATGCCTCCTCAACCCAAGTTTGAGCTCTGTGTCTGTCTCTTACCCCCTTAACTCCTCTAAAGGAAACAGAAACTGAGTAAAGTACCACAGGAAGAAATAACAGAGGCTGAAGGGAGATGGGACTTGAGAAGGGACCGGGAAGAAAGACCTGAGAAGAGAGGAACTTGACACGGGACCGGGACAGAGACTCCAAAAGCGTGGGAGAAAGGTCCTCAGATCTGTTACAAAACGTTTTAGGATCAAGTCGAGGGTGTCTATGGCTTTCCTGTGACTACAGTCCACATGGCTTGCTTGATTCATAATATTCTGTTCATGCTAGCAAGGACAGTGTCTAACACATCCCGGCCAGTCCCCATGTCTAGAATGCCATTAATTTTATCAATGAGAATCCATTTCTAACATTTCATTACGCCAATTAGCCAAACCGCTGGTGCCAATAGGCAATAAAGAGAGCGGCCCCGTTTATAAGCGCTGCCTCCAGAGGGTGGACTTTCTGATTAAGTGCTCGCTGACCAGAGCTGCAATGCGAACGGTTGGTTAGGCACTTGACTGCCCCTAGAGGGTGAATTCAACGACTAACACATAATACCCACACTGTCTACCCGAAAGCCTTTTGAAATGAATTAGAGTCATCATAACAGGGAGAGAAGAAAACAGCTTTATAGATCCTAAGGGAGCAGAAATCCAATCACCCTGCCAGTAAGTGTTCAAGTTTGCATACATGAATAATTAATTAAGTGGAAAGATAGCCCTGGGAATCAAAAGAGGAAGATGGAGAAGGGTTCGGAATGCTAGGGGGGAGGGGAGCCTGGCTTCCTTGTAAAACTACAACTCCCAGGAGCCTTTGCCTATGCTGCGTGGAAGGTCGCTCCAAGGTCATGAGGACAACAGTTTCTCCGAAGCCTCAGGCTTCTCTCGTGGACCGAGACTCAATTACCTTAATTCTCTTTCTCTTCCCGCACCGCCCTCCCCAATTGGTGGACCGAAGGTTTCCAAGGTAACCGCTTAGCAAAGCGGAGCTCCTGAGGTGGGAAATGGACTCCGGAAGTGACGCTCCTACCCTGCGCCGCCAGTAAGAGGGTTCGAAGATGGCGGCCCGCAGAGGGCAGCGGCGCACGTGTACTGCTGGAGAGGCCATGGAGACCGAATCTCGCGACACAGATTCCGAGGGCCCGGCTCAGGTCTACTTACCCGGCCGGGGGCCTCCGCTACGCGAAGGGGAGGAGCTGGTCATGGACGAGGAGGCCTATGTACTGTATCACCGCGCGCAGACTGGTAGGCTTGAGAGTCCGATCTCCTGGGTCCTGGGGGAGGAGGGGACTGGTCCTAAGCTTTTAACTAAAAAGGTGCCCAGGAGAAGAGGTGTCTGGCGTCTAAGAGAGGTGGTGTCACACTACGGAACAGCTGGTTTCTGAGGGAGGTGGAGATGGAGATCGTCGCTCTGTCACATCCTCACTACCCAGCCCCTTCCCTCATGCCCAGGCGCTCCGTGTCTTAGCTTCGATATAGTCCGAGATCACCTGGGAGACAACAGGACAGAGCTTCCTCTTACACTTTACCTGTGTGCGGGGACTCAAGCGGAGAGCGCCCAGAGCAACAGGTGAGACACAAGGCATTCCCTTGTTCAGGAGTCTGAACCTTTTGTTTCCACCTCCTTTCTAAAGACCGAGGACCCAGGGATTCAAACTTCTGCCTCACCCCACCCAAGAATCTAGGTCTCCAGCCACCCTTCTTTTTTTTTTTTTGTCTTTTTTTTCATTTTTATTGGTACCAGGGATCGAACTCACGACTGCCTGCTTGCAAGGCAGGTACTTATGCCGCTGAGCTAAATTCCCAGCCCCTCAGCCACCCTTCTTGATAAGCATCTTGGCATTGGCTGCCCAACTTACCCAGTCCTTTCTCCAGACTGATGATGCTTCGGATGCACAATTTACATGGCACCAAGGCCCCGCCCTCAGAGGAAAGTGATGAAGAGGAGGAAGAAGATGAAGAGGATGAAGAAGAGCGGAAGCCTCAGCTGGAACTGGCCATGGTACCCCACTATGGTGGCATCAATCGCGTTCGGGTAAGTACTCCCTAGCCTTAGTGTTGTGAGGATACAGTGAAATAATGTACAGTGTCTGAAATAGCCTTTGATTGTAATGTAAGGTGTAGTTTTTTGCTAAATTACGACTTGGGAACTATTGGACTATAGGAGTTTCATTTTGGATTTTTTACTTCAGAGGCAAAGCATCTTCTGATCAGGTAGACATGCATATAACATGACAGGTTGTACACTTAGAGCAAGGTTTGTCCCATAGCTGGTCCTGTGTTTCCAGTACATTGTTATTAGTATGTCTTGGGTACTGTCCTAAGCCTTGAGAATTTAGCTGCAGGTTAAGTGAATTAAATGAAGCAGTTTCTAGCTCCATGAAGAGGGATTAAGCTCTAGTGGAGAGGGATTAAGAAGGAGCTGAGTAAATGTATATCATAAGATGCCCAGTTTCTTTGAACAGAGACCCACACGAAGTGAAGGAGTAAACCAAGGCTATCTGTGGGAACAAATTTGCAAGCAAAGAAAATGCAGATGCAAAGGCCACAGATTGAGCTTGGCATATTCGAAGAATTTCAAGGGAAGCTTGGAAACTAGTATGCCTGGAGCAAAATGGCAGAGAGAAGGTGATAGAGAGTGGTCGAAGAGGAGACAATGTTGAGAACCATAAAGATAATTAGGTTTATTGGAGAGAAATTGAGACTCACTAGAAAGTTTAGAGCATAAGAAAGATAGGCTCTGGAATTTGGTTATACATACCTGTAATCCTAGCACTCAGGAGGATCATGAGTTTTAGGCATGCAGATGAGCCCTGTGACCCTTCAGCAGTGGGCAAGAAAAACAGGAGTCAGCACCCTAGGAGGGCTGGTGGGACTTGCAGTGTCCATGCATGGGTGTCTTGAAGTTTTGTCCTCCCACCGTACTGGCTGCTTCACTGTAGCATGGGGCATTGGGTTAAGGTGATTTATAAAGTTTACCTGGTAGGACTGATGTGGGAGCGACCAGATAGCAGCTGGCCCTGCAGGTTGTGATTTTACCACACAAGGTTTCTGGGAGCTATAGTCCCAGCCCTGGGCATCTGAGAAACTGCCCTGAGTCCCCTGTCTCTCTGTTTCATGAGCACCTCTCATGCAGGTTTCCTGGCTGGGTGAGGAGCCTGTTGTGGCCGTGTGGTCAGAGAAGGGCCAGGTGGAAGTGTATGCACTGCGGAGGCTCCTGCAGGTGGTGGATGACCCCCAGGCCCTGGCGGTCTTCCTCCGGGACGAGCAGGCCCGAATGAAGCCTATCTTCACCTTTTCGGGCCACATGGGTGAGGGCTTTGCCCTTGACTGGTCCCCTCGGGTGCCAGGTAAGTCCCTGGGGTGTGCCCAGGGTTTGGAGAGGTAGCTGGGAATGGGCCAGCCATAGTGAGCATCGAGCTGTGGCCAGATCAGGTGAGGTCATTTAAATCCTATCCCAGGTCGCCTGCTGACCGGTGACTGTCAGAAGAACATCCATCTCTGGATGCCTACAGATGGTGGCTCCTGGCATGTAGACCAGCGGCCATTTGTGGGCCACACATGCTCCGTGGAGGACCTGCAATGGTCACCAACTGAGGACACGGTGAGGGATAAAGGGGGTCAGTGGGAGGCACCTAGGGACCTGGAATCCTGGGTCTCCAGGGAGGATCTCTGAGCTGAGGGCCTGGCAGAGTCTCGGTTTCCAGCCCAAGTGTGAGTCCTGGGGACACTGAGGAGTGAGTGGCTTCCCACCAGCTCCTGGTCCTCAGTGGAAGGTAGGGACATCTGTGCACTCAGATTCACTCTGCCTTGCTCAGGTATTCGCCTCCTGCTCAGCTGATGCCTCCATTCGCATATGGGACATCCGGGCAGCCCCTGGTAAGGCCTGCATGCTCACCACAGCCTCCGCCCACCACGGTGATGTCAACGTCATCAGCTGGAGCCGCCGGGAGCCCTTCCTGCTCAGTGGTGGGGATGACGGGGTCCTCAAGGTCTGGGACCTGCGACAGTTCAAGGTATTTTCTCAGCAGCCACTGGGATCTGCAGGTTGCTTGCTTCTGTCTCAGTCCAACCAGGTCTGGGAGACCTGGAACTAGAAGCCAGCCACAATCCTGAGGCTCAGCAGGAGAAGGCTGTGAGAGCAGCGTGGGGTCCCTCACTCCACCTTGGGAAGCTCGGAGCCACCCGAGAGGCAAGGGTGCAGCTGACTGTACAGCCTGGGGCTTCGGGGAGCTGTAGTTTGTGTTCTAGTGGATTTTAGAGCATCCACTAAGAACTGGAGACCAGCTCACTCATTGCAAGGGAAGAAACGGGCACAGAAAGGGCTTGCGCCTGTAACCCCAGTGCTGGGAGGCTTGAGAGAGGAGCATGACAAGTTTGAATCCAGCCTGGGCAACATAGTGACCTAGTGAGACCCTGTCTCAAAAAGATTTTAGTTGGAATGAGATGAAGCTTAGTATGAAGACTAAATACTGGCCGGGGTGCAAGGGTGGGGGAGAACAGCCAGGCGAGCACAGCAAGAATCCCTGTCCTTTATCAAAGGAGACCCAGGGCACCAGCATGGGCCGGGCCTCTGTGACCTGGAGCTGATGAGGGCTTTTCAGGTGAAACCCCAGCTCCCAGCAGCTGTCCTTTGCTGTGTCCTCCCATGGCTTGTGTTTGCGGGGTGTTAGGGGGAAAAGCCCTGCTTGAACCTTGAGGCTGGTCCCCAAGTGGGTCTCTTGGCACCCCTGATACCTACCCTCTCCCACAGTCTGGCTCCCCTGTGGCTACCTTCAAGCAACATGTGGCCCCTGTGACCTCCGTTGAGTGGCACCCACAGGACAGTGGGGTCTTTGCAGCCTCAGGAGCAGACAATCAGATCACACAGTGGGACCTGGCAGTGGAGCGGGACCCCGAAGTAGGCGAGGCGGAGGCTGACCCAGGGCTGGCAGAGCTGCCCCAGCAGCTACTGTTTGTGCACCAAGGTGAGACAGACCTGAAGGAGCTGCACTGGCACCCGCAGTGCCCCGGCCTCCTGGTCAGCACCGCCTTGTCCGGCTTCACTGTCTTCCGCACCATCAGCGTCTAAGGTGGCCTTGCACTGTGGACTTGGCATGGAAGCTGGTTCCTCGGAAGGGGTACATTAAGGCCTGCTGACTGGACCCCTAAAAGAGGGGGTTCCCATGGACCCTACAGACTTCGTGTTCTCCCAAAGGACTTGGTTTGACCCATGGCCCTGTGCAGTCACTCTCACCAAAGACCCCTGCCTGGCAGAGGACATTGCAGACCATATACAACCTGAGTATCCAGCTTTTATCAGCTTTGATTTTTGGCTTGACCCTTCAACCTCTGCCCTGCAGCAGATTCAGCAGCTACCTTCAGGGACTCGGGGGCTTTGCCACCGCTGGACCACATTTCCTGGGGTGGGTTTCTCCCGCCAGCCCGAGCAAGACTGAGGTTTCCCAGTGCCTTCCTGGAGCGGAAGGCTAGGTCTCCTGACTGGTAATAAAGGACCAGAACAAGGCCTGGAGTGTGTGCAGCCCGGTCCTTCCAGCCCATCACTGTGTGAGTGCTGAGGGGACAGACAGAACTGGCACCCATGGGTCTCTGCTCCACCAGGCTGCAGCAGGCTGGCCCTCAGCCCTCTGCCTCACCTCAGTTTTATTCTGGAGTTCACTCTGCCTTAGTGCAAGTGTGGCTTATCCTGTGCCCCCCAACTTACTAAGGTGACCATGGAGCCCCCATCTCTGTTCCATTCATCGTCTCGCCATTTCTTTCTGTCCCCTGAATTGTTGCTACTCTGTGTCCCCATCTTCCCAAGACTCCCAGCTCCCTTCCCCCCACCTGCTTTCTGCCGGGCTCCTCCAGTCTCCTGGGCATGGGCCCAGCGCCCTGCCTGGCCGGCCTCCCTGGCTCCCCTACTGCGGCGGAGCCGCCCTACCCCCCACCCCCTCTGCACGCAGCCTCTGATCCGCCGTGGGCTCAGAGGTCTGTCCCAGCTTGAAGCCCCAGGGGCCAAGGACTGATCACAGCACCCCAGAGACCTCCCTACAGCCGGAGCAGAGGAGCCCCCAGTGCAGGGCATGGGGGTGGGCCGCCCCTCCAGGTATGTGCTCCATAGAGGGCTAGCACGAGAGCCAGCCCCCCTCGCATCCTCCTGCCATGCCTACCTCCGTGCCAGCTCCAGCCCTGGGGAAACCTGCCTCCCCCCAGATCTAGGACTCCCCACTCACACCCACCCTGGTTTCTACCTTTCCTCATTGGCATCATCTGTTGGGAATCCTCCTCTCTGTCTCTCACTGTTTAGGACATCCCTCTCTGTTTAGGACAGTAGCTTCGTTGATCCCAGTCTGGCTGCCTTACCGTTTTCTGCCCCTTGGCCCCCACCTTGGGCCCGTGTTCCCTTGCTGGGCCCTGCCCTTCTCTTAGGGCCCCTTCTCGCTGCCCCTCATCCTGCAGTCTCCTTCCTCTGCAGCCTGCCCCATGTGCCTCCCCATCAGTATCCATGCCCCAGCCTGCTGTCTGGACCCTGCTGGTTAGTGGGGGGCAGTGGGGTTTCCTTGGTCATAGGAGAGTGGAGTGCGTGTTCATTTAGGGGGCCAAGGGGGGCCAAGGGCGGGGCCTATTGGCCCCAGATTAGACAGTGACTTTGACACAAGTGGAAGCACCTTAAGCCTCACAGCTCCTTTATATGGAAACAGTAAGCTGCTCTTGCAGGTCAGCTGGAGGGGGAACCTCAAGCTCGGGATCCTTTGCCCTCCCCTCCCGCCCTGGTGGGGGACTGGGTGGGGGTGTCCTGAGCTCCAGCCCCTCCACTCCCCTGTGACCTGGGCTATGCTGGCTGCAACCAGGGCCCTCTGGAGGTGAAGATTCCCGAAGGTCTGGGGTAGGCGGTGGCAGCCAGGATCGAGGAAGCAGAGTTCTGGGTGGGACAAGCCTTGCGCCCCAGCACTGTGTGGGCCCAGCCAGCCTGCTTCCTGCCCGACATGGGGTCGCCTTGAGCACTCAGGTGAGCCGGGGGTCTGGTGGCCTGGCCTGGGCCTGGCCTGGGACAGGCGCTCAGTATACCAGCCGTGGCTGCAGCAAGGTCTCGGGCCCCTCCTCGACTGGAGACCTGAGACAAGTGCATTGCTTTCCTGGGGGCAGCAAACGGTTTGCATGGAGAAAGTGAGGGATGAAGGAGTGAGGGGCAAGGGGCCTGGGAGGTTGGTGCTGATGCCAGTGCCAGTTCCTGCCCGTTCCTGCCAGTCCCTCCCCCAGAGAGCCCCTTACTGGGAAGGGGCTACAAGAGGGCTATCTCTAACTTCCAGGGGTGTTAAGGGGGAAGTTCCTGGCATGGGCACTCACAGACACTCGGTGTTGAACAGAGCCCAGCTCAGTCACTGCCCCAAGCCTCAGCACCCACTTGTCAGGTGGGCCTGGCAAGTGTCCACATGGCTGGTGCTGGTCCAGTAGGCACGCAGCACAGAGAAAGGCTTGGGAAATTTGGTGTACTGCAGATTATGACTGCCATAACTGCCAGGGCTTAGCCCAGGCCTGCCCAGTCCCAGAAGTGGCCATGCATGTGTCGGTTAAGGTTGGGATGGGGCTGTAGACGACGACCATGAGCTCTGCAGGACCCTGCCCAGTCCCTCCGCCCTGTGGGGCTGCCAGGATTCCCTCCACTTCCCAGGCCTCAGGAAGGGGTAGGTCCAGGCATCTCTCACTCAGCCCTGATGAAAGGCTAAGGACTTCTGGTCCCCTTCATTTTCGGTTGGGAGGCAGGTAACGCATTCCGCAGAGGAGCAAAGTGAGGCTCTGGGCCAGGTAGCCAGGGATCCTGGGCAACACGGTTGGGATTCAGTCCCGGATCTTTAGGGTGGGAGCACACCTCTTGACTTTAGCAATGTCTCCATTTTACAGCTGGTGAAACTGAGGTTCAGAAAGGGGTGCCCCAATCAGAAGGTCAAGCTGCACCTATGTATTTGGTGACAGCTTAATGGAATAGAATTCACGGGCCATCCCATCCAAGCAGACAGCAGCTTTTAGTATATTTACGGTGGCACAAATGTCACCCTGAGGAACTTTAGAACATGTTCCTCACTTCCAAAAGAAACCCCATATCCTTTGGCCATCTGTCTCTGACCTCTCCAATTTCCCTAGGCCCAGACAACTGCGGGGCTACTTTTTTAAAAATTTTTTTTGTCTTTTTCCCTTTTATCGGTACCGGGGATTGAACTCACGACTGCCTGCTTGCAAGGCAGGTGCTTATGCCGCTGAGCTAAGTCCCCAGCCCCGGGGCTACTTTTATTTCCCCCTGCAGCTCTGGGGATCAAACCCAGAGCTGGACACATGGGAGAAAAATGCTCTACCACCGAGCTGCACCCCTGCCCCATCTACTTTCTTAGTTTATGGATTTACCTGTGCTGTACATTTCAGACACAGGTGTCCCTCAGGGCCAGCAGGGCATGGGCTCTGGAGTCCTTTAGATACTGACTAGCATGGATGCTGATGGCCCTTACATAAAATGGCGTAACATTTACCGATAACCTATCAATAGCTTCTCCTATACTTAAAATCACTCGAGATCACCAGGTATGGTACTGCATACTTGTCATCCCAGCACTCTAGGAAGCTGAAGTAGGAGGATTGCAAATCCAAGCTCAGTCTGGGCAATTTAGCAAGATTGTCTCAAAAATTAAAAAGGGCTGGAGATGTAGCTCAGTGGGAGGCCCTGTGTTCAGTCCTCAGTACCATGGTCAGGTATGGTGGCACACACCTATAATCCCAATATTTGGGAGCGTGAAGCAGGAGTCCAACCTGGCCTGCAAAGTGAGTTCAAGGCCAGCCTGAGCTGCTTAGTAACAAGCCCCTGCCTCAAAAGAAAAAAGTTTTCAGTTCTACAAGGGAAAAAAAAAACCCTCAAGGTTACTTCTAATACTTCTAATACTTAATGCAGTGTGCATGCTATGTAAATAGTGATAAATGGTATTGTTTAAGGAATCCTGCCAAGAAAATTTCGTGTCCATTTCAGAACAGAGGAAATATTCAAACTGAAATTGGTTGAAATTGCAGATGGGGAAACTACCAATATAGAGGGCTGACCACAAACTGAATAATATAACATACATAGAGGATTTTTTTAAAAAATCTGTTTTGAGATTGGGTTTCGCCATGTCATTCAGATGAGCCCTGAAATCACTTTGCAGTCTACACTAAACTCAAACTCACATTGATCTTCCTGCCTCAGCCTCCCAAATGCTGGGAATACAGATGTGCGCCACTACAGCCAGCATAGGTGGCCTTTCATGATTGGTTTCTCATTTAAAATAATGTTTTCCCTGTTCCCATATTGTTACATCAATTAGTACTTCATTTGCTTTTATTGCCAAACAGTATTCTTGGGAGGAATACATCACATTGTAACTGTCTATTCACCACGAGTTGACAAGTCTTTGGTGGTGCCTCCTCCCCCAGTACTGGCAAATTGAACCCAGGGTGTTTGCAATGAATTATGTCCTCAGACATTTTAAATTTGTTTTTCAATTTTGAGACAGAATCTCACTAAGCTGCTAAATTTCCCAGGGTGGGCTCTAACTCATGATCCTCCTGGGAGCCTCAGCCACCCAAAGTGCTTGGGTTTTCAGCGTGTGTCACCACACCTGGTTTGCTTCTAAGTGTTTCACTATTACACTGCTGTGAGCATTTCTGTACGAGATTTTGTGTGGACCTCTGCCCTCATTTCTCTTAGATAACTAGATAGCTAGGGAGTGGAGCTGCTGGGCCACGTGGTAACTCTGTGGCCCCTAAGGGACCTGCCAGGCTGGTTTCCACAGCAGCTGCGCCCTGTCCCCTTTCCACTGGTGGCCTGGCAAAGGCCCACTTTCCACACTCTCTCCAACACTGGCTGACTGCCTTTTACCCATCTTAGGTGGGGGTGTCGTGCTATGGGGGTGGGAAGGTTCAGTTTATTGATGGGCAATGGGGATTGAACCCAGGGCTTCACAAAGGCTAAGCTACACTTTACCAGTGAAATACAACCCCAGCCTCATTGTGGGTTTGGTTTCCCTCTGGCTGATCCTGTGAATTCGTGCTTTCTTTCTTTCTTTTTCTTTCTTTCTTCCTTTCTTCCTTCCTTCCTTCTTTTTTACATGCATATTGGCTATTTGTATCTTCCTTGGCGATATATGTATACAGACCCTTTCCCTGTTTTGTTTTGTTTTTATTTTTTCATAGTGGGGTCTCATTACGTAGTTCAGGTTGGCCTTGGAGTCACTCTCTGTGCAGCCCAGGCTGGCCTCAAACTCCTGGTGATCCATCAGCCTCCAGGGTGCTGGGATTACAGGCATGAGCTACCATTCTGGCCCTTTGCCTACTTTTACACTGGGTAATTTGTCTTTAGTATTGAATCTCAAATGCTCTTTACATATTGAGAGCAGATACACGATTTGCCAGTATTTGCTTCCCTCTGGTGGACTTACGCATTTTTTGAGAGTGCCCTTTGAAGCACGCAAGTGTTCAGTTTTGACAAAATTCAATTTATCTATTTTTCCTTTGTTGCTTACATTCTCTGAGCCCATTTTTTTAAAGTAAAGATTTTTATTTGTACTTTTAAAATCATGGGGAGCCATGTACCTTGAACAGTAGATACATGAGACAAACCAGAGGTTGTACCCAGCCATGGGTATAGCATGGGCTAGAGCTAATCAGATAGGCTGGAACAAGGACCCTGGAACCTTCTGTTGTGCTGGGTCTTGACCCTTACCTGCTGGCTCTGGAAATATCCAGAGATGCCTAAGAGGAGAGCTAAGGAAATGGGGTGCAAGACAACTTAGAGGATTTGGGGGCAGTGGTTGGATCAATGGGTTCAAGAATATTTTACTAGCTAAATAAACAGTCCTGTCATAGGTAGGGGGCTATTGATTGCTTACTAATCCTGGCAAAAAGCACCAATGTGAATGCATATACGGGCACCACCCTTACACTAACCCTCCATCCTGACAGTAGGAAGGAAGGAAAGAGAGAGCCAGTCTGCTCTAACATGTGTTATCTGATTTTAGAACCACAGCTGCCCTCAGACCCAGCTCCTCTCTGTGGAGAAGCAGTTACAACCTAGCTATTATCAGCATGGTCTGCTAGCATTTAAATCCTAGCTTTCTTAGCTGTGATTTTGGGCAAGTTACAAAAAAACGAGACCTCAGTTTCCCTCTTGGTAAAATGGGGGCAATAATGTGTACCTCAAAAGTCTAGTCCTAAGGGTCAAATAGGTAAATTTATGTAAAGTGCTTCAAAATGTCCAAACCGTATCTCTCCTTTTCTTTCACTCTCTCTTTCACTATTGGGAATTGAACCCAAGGCCTTTTTCATCTTTTTTTTTTTTTTTTTTTTTTTTTATCATGTTAGGTCACATTGAATCTTTTTCACCTTTGTTTGTTTGTTTGTTTGTTTGCTTGGTACCGGGAATCAAACAGCTGAGCTGTTATTTCTTTGGCCTTTTACTTTTTATTTTGAGCCAGGTCTTGCTAAGTTACTAGGTGTCCAAACTTGCTGGGCTCAAACTTGCGAATCTCCTGCCCCAGCTTCTCACACCACACCTGAGCGGGCACCGCCACACCTGGCTTGTTACTTAAACTCAGCACTCTAGAAAGCATCTGCGGGCGCTTCGTCAGCACGGTGCTGCCACTACCCTGCACGGGTTCCAGGACTGTCACGGCTGCCTTACTCTTCAAACTCCTACCCATCTGCCCGGGAGCACAGCATGCCGGGGACCCATGGGAGCCCCTGACTCGCTGTCCCTTTCTCTTCCCACAGGATCGGGGCGCCCGCCCCCTACTAGGCGGAGTGGAGGGGGTTCCCCCCGCCCAATGGGCCTGGCCAAGGCCCTGCGCCGCCTGAGCGGCGCCCTGGAGTCGGGGAACAGCCGGGAGGGTAACAGCAGGCCTGACGACGAGGAGGCGGCGGGTCCCGGGCTGTGCCGCAATGGGTGGGCGCCGGCGCAGGGCCCGGGGGCGCGGCGGCGCGGGCGCTTCGTGAAGAAGGACGGGCACTGCAACGTGCGCTTCGTCAACCTGGGCGGCCAGGGCGCTCGATATCTCAGCGACCTGTTCACCACGTGCGTGGACGTGCGCTGGCGCTGGATGTGCCTGCTCTTCTCCTGCTCCTTCCTCGCCTCCTGGCTGCTCTTTGGCCTGGCCTTCTGGCTCATCGCCTCCCTGCACGGCGACCTGGCCGCGCCGCCGCCGCCCGCGCCCTGCTTCTCGCACGTGGCCAGCTTCCTGGCCGCCTTCCTCTTCGCACTCGAGACGCAGACATCCATCGGCTACGGCGTCCGCAGCGTCACCGAAGAGTGTCCAGCCGCCGTGGCCGCCGTGGTGCTGCAGTGTATAGCTGGCTGCGTGCTCGACGCCTTTGTCGTGGGCGCTGTCATGGCCAAGATGGCCAAGCCCAAGAAGCGCAACGAGACGCTGGTCTTCAGCGAGAACGCCGTGGTGGCGCTTCGCGACCGCCGTCTCTGCCTCATGTGGCGCGTGGGCAACCTGCGGCGCAGTCACCTGGTGGAGGCCCACGTGCGAGCCCAGCTGTTGCAGGTACGGCAGGAGGGGAGGGACCCTGTGGGTACACGGTTCCCCGGGAGGGTGGCCTCCAGATGGACCTGTGCCTACTCTTCCTGAGGCCAACACTTGAGACAGAAGGAGTTTCCTGGTCTTGTGGGTAGTGTAAACCTAAGTGACTCCAGCCTTGGAGCAGACAGATACCCCGATGAGGTGGTGGCATTTAGTGACTGTGTGGCCTTTCCATGGCTCAAGTATTCAATTCCCAGCAGCCACTAGGAGTGGCTTTCAGCTCTGAGGTAGGCCCCAGGTGGGCTGCAAGCAGGTGCCTGCAGAGGTGCATGATCCAGTTCTCCGGAACTCCGGGGATCCTGCCAAATGCGGGGGACACTTCAGTGCCCCACTATCTCATCAGCTAGAAAGCACTTCTGAATAGCAACTTCCCAGTGACAACACAGCCCCCACTCTTACCAGCCCCTGTGCTAGCAGCTTCCTTGGAAGCCCCAAGGCAAGTGCCTTGTGTTCTCAGATTTGGGGTCAAATTGTTGGTATCCCTGTCCCAACAAACGCGACAGCAGCTGCCTAACCCAGGTGGAAGAACTCTAGTGTGGAAGTGCATGTCTGTAATCGCAGCACTTTGGGAGGCCAAGGCAGGAGGATTGCAAGTTCAAGTTTCCCCCAGGGAACTTAATGAAAGCCTGCTTCAAATAAAATAAAATAAAATATAAAAATAAATAAAAGACGCGGCGATATAGTTAAGTGTGAAGGCTATGGGTTCAATGCCCAGTACTGCAAAACAAAACACAAAAGCCCAGCTCCAGGCTGAGGCGAGACTTGAGGCAAGAGGAGGGTAGAGGGATGGTGGTGCCAGGAAGTAGCAATCTCAGCAGCTGGGGTTGGAATCAGTGCCCAGCCACACCTGAATCACCTGCCGGGGCAGTGTGAAACACCAGGATTTATAACCAGGAGGGACACTATCTCTTCCAAAGTCAGTGACCTAAGAGGTGAGTATGGACCCCCATAGGCACATGGAAGGGTGGAGAACAGGGAGCTGTGATGGTTGAGGATATTGCAGAGCTAGCCTGAGGCATGAAGGAGTCCAGCATGTGGACCCTCGATTATCTTAACTCCCCTTGTTATCCATTTCTCTTCATCCATCTATCTATATATTTTTTGATTTGGGTTTATTTTGTTTTTTTGTTTTTTGAGACAAGGTCTCACTATGTATCCCACGCTGGCCTTGAACTCATAGCAGTCGTCCTGCCTGAACCTCCTGAGTGCTGGGATTACAGATGTGTGCCATCACGACCAGCCTTCTGTCATACTGAAAGCCATTTTTTTTTATCCCTCTCCTCCAATTCCTCTGCTGGATGTCATCCTCACCTTCTGTGTCTCTGGCTTACTGTCTTAACTCCTGTGGCTCTATGTGGATCTTACTCTGTGCTTCTGTGTCTTTCTCTCTACCTACCTCCCTGGGTTTCTGTCCCCCAATTCTGTCTGTCCTTGTCCTTCTCTTTATCCCTGGGTCTCTCGTCCCTCCCTTCCCATTCATGTTCTCACCCTGTGTTTTATCTCTGCTGGCCTTTGCTTTCTTTTCTCTCCACATCTCTGTTCCTTCTCTCTCCCTCGCTGTCCTTTTCATCTCCATACTCCTGTCTCTGTCTTTGACTCCTGGCCTTTTGCTGCAGCCCCGTGTAACCCCGGAAGGTGAGTACATTCCACTGGACCACCAGGATGTGGACGTGGGCTTCGACGGGGGCACTGATCGCATCTTCCTCGTGTCCCCCATCACCATCGTGCATGAGATCGACTCTGCCAGTCCTCTCTATGAGCTGGGACGTGCTGAGCTGGCTCGGGCTGACTTTGAACTGGTGGTTATCCTTGAAGGCATGGTTGAGGCCACGGCCATGACCACACAGTGTCGCTCATCCTACCTCCCTGGGGAGCTGCTCTGGGGCCACCGTTTTGAGCCAGTCCTCTTCCAACGTGGCTCCCAGTACGAGGTGGACTATCGCCACTTCCATCGCACTTACGAGGTCCCAGGAACACCTGTCTGCAGCGCCAAGGAGCTGGATGAAAGGGCAGAGCAGAATGCCCACAGCCCCAAGTCCAGCTTCCCTGGCTCCCTGGCTGCATTTTGTTATGAGAATGAGCTTGCTCTCAGCTGCTGCCAGGAGGAGGATGAGGAAGAGGAGACTAAAGAGGAGACCGGGGCAGAGACAGAAGATGGAGCTGCCAGCCCCCGAGTCATCACACCAACCCTGGCTCTGTCCCTGCTTCCATGATGCAAACTGATGTCCCTGCTCCTACTTCTGCCCCCTTCCCAGAGGTAGCAGGATGGAGGGATCAGCCTCCTCCAGCACAGGGGAAGGTATTTCCCAAGATCAACAGCCCCATTGGGTAAATCTGCCAGGCCTGGTGGACCCACCATGGACATACTGGACCTTAATTTCTTTGCTTCTGTGCTTCCTCCTGACTCTGCTTATAAGTCCAATTGGACTTATAAGTCCAATTCCTGAATCCTAGCAGAGCTGAGGGATCCAGAATTCTGTAGCACCAAAGAAGCAAGAGCTGCTGGTTCTAGATTCCTCCTCATGGCAGGGCCTGATTATTGAGCAGAATCAGAAATCAGTGATAACAGACAACCATTGGGGGAGGAAGTCAGTGGTTCCTGGATAGCCACAAAGATCAAGTCTGCAGGTCTAGGTTGACCTCAGATTCAGGAGGCTTCGTGGGTCAGCCACTGAGAAGCCAATTATTTAAGACCAAGAGAAAAGTTTGTGGAACACTCTTATGTTTTCGAGACTGTCTTGATAGGCCAAAAGCAAACAATTGTGGCTGCATGACAAGAAAAGACCTTGTGGCTCCAGAAAGCCCAAGATTTGGTGAGTCGAGATAGACCACATGGGCAAACACTGTTGATTTTAAACAGGTTGATCTTGGGAGCTGGATAATTCCACAAACTAGAATTACACTTCTAGAATGCACAAAACAGCAAGGCCTGGCTTTCAAAGAACAAAAGTGGCAGATCGGAAGTTCTTGACATGAAAGAACTTCTGGGTTAGGGTATAGCTCAGTGGCACAGTGCCTCCTTGGCAAGTGTGAGGTCATGAGTTTGCTTCCCAGTACCAAAAAAGAAAAAAAGAACTAAAAGAACTTTTGACATTGGCTGTAGAACATCTGGCCAAGGGGATAAGTGCAGCTTCTGAACCATCATGCAAAGGAATCAGGATGCTGGGCACCTGACCACAGGGAGGTGTGGTGATTCTAGACAGCTGCAAACTGCTGGCTCCAGTTTGCCCAATGATGTGGAGAATCTTGATGATCCTAAATGACTCGTGGTTCTGTAATGCCAAAGGGAATCAACGGCTGCAAGGATCCAGAGTTCTCCATTCCTGAAGCCTAGAAGTTCTGATCACCTCTGGATGGACTGCTCTGCAATTCTAGAACGGGGACACAGGTGTTGATGTGTAGCATTTCTGGGTTGACCTAGCAAGTGAAGGCTCAGGTGAGATCTTGTAGGTCACAGGGCTCATTAGTGTGCAAGGGAAGGGGGAAGCCCAAAGCTGGTGGAGTCTAGAATGTTCTGGAATACTACACCTAGTGATGTGTCTGTTTCTTAAAAATATTATACATATGTATATCATATATATATATAATATATATATATACAAATATCTTTTTTTCCTCTGATTACTATAGCAAGTTTAGAAATTGAACTCTAATTAGAATGGGGTCCTTTTCAAAGATACAGGAAGCTTTGTTCTGTGCCCCAACTGTCCCAACTTTGATTTGGGGCAAATTGTTCCCCTCTGTTTGCCTCAGTTTCCCCATCTGTGAAAAAGGAGCTTTGGAACTTGGAGTTCTCCAGGGGCATTTGCAGGAGGACAATTGCTTGCTTCGTGGATGGTAGGATGGGGTGTGGGTTCTGGGCATTTCCCAATGCCCCTGGATCACATGACCTCCCAGGGGCAGCTGGGATGGGAGATGATCTTGACAAGGCTGACTCTGAACTAGAGTTTGTGACTCTCGGGGCCAAACAAGGGGTGGTATGGAGGGCCAATGTCACCACCTCCAGCTCCCAGCTCATGGGAATGGCAGAGGAAGAGGTAGCTCTGAATACTAGGGGTCTTCCCACTGTGTGGAAAAGGGATATTTGAGGGGCAGGCCTGTTCCCAGATTAAAGACCTGTTCTGAGTGTGTTTCTGGGGCACGGGTCCTGCGGCCTGGACTTCAGCCATGCTGTCATCCTCCTAAGTGCCCGGCAGGCTGGGAGCCAGCTGCAGAAAGAGCTTGTGCCAGGGGAGGACATGTTCCCACCTTGTGTTCCCAGCTGAGGGCAGGCACTGTCACTGGCCACCAGCCCACCCAACAGCCGCATCAGTCCAGGTTCCTTCGGCTGGCTCACTCTTTCTTTATCCTTCAGAATCCCTGTGTAATAACCGGATGGGATTAATTAGCTGCTGCTCTTCCAGCCCAGGTGTCTGGGACTGGGACAGAGGACAATGGAAACAGTGGTGGGGAGGGCTCTTGGGTTGGGGGTGAAGGGGCAGGGAGTGGTTCTGTTTGGGAGGGGCTGGGCAGTGTTGGCACAGCCTGGGTCTACACTGGGGAGGGCAGGGCCTGGGCAACTCATAAAGGTCAGTGAGGGGATTAGGAGGCTCTATGTCTAATCCAACAGCTTAACCAGGCCAAGACAGCAAATGAGGACGAAGCTCGGACACCACTTTAGCCCCCATTGTGGTCCTGGCCTTTTATGGCATATCCGGGTTCTCCATCCCATCCAGGCCCCTGTCCAGTTCGCCCTTCCTGCAAGGAGCCACCAAAGAGCTGTGGATTGAGAATGGCCTCTGACATGGTTGTGTTTTTCGTGGAGAAAGACATTTAATTGGGGCAAGAGTGTGAGGACAGGCAAGGTAAGGTGGCAGAAATAGAAAAGGAAGAGCCAGAATCAGAGGAGAGGGGATGAAGGAAGTGGAGTTGTTTTAGGAGGGGGGGGAGGGTCCTTGGAGGACTTTTAATTGGGGGAGGAGATTAGAGGCAGAAGGTGCCAGGAAGGGGGAACCCGTGCTTTCACTATATCTGCCCTTCCTTTATTGTCCGTTCTCCATGACAGGTGCCAAATTGCATGGCACTGGGAAGAAAGTCATTTCATCACCTCTAGACTCTGAAAATGGGGAGACTATAGAAGGTATTAAGGAAAGGGTCTGGAGATAGTAGAGGGCTGAAAGAAAGAGAAGCGCCCGGAGAAAAAAAGGTAAAAGGCCTTAGCTGCTCCCGGTTGCATGGCAACCGCTGCGGTCAAAAGCCAGCTTGGCCCACTTAGAGGTGTGGCTACTGGAAACAGCCCAAAACTGAGGCCACGCCCCTAGCAACAAGCATAGCCAGTACCGCCCACTAGCAACGCATCAGGAAGGCGGAGTTCAGCGGGCCTCATCAAGCGCCAGAACCTTGGCGCAGGCGCAGTGTTCTCTGCAATACATAGCCCCACCTCCTTTTAAACTCTTTCCTGAGGCTTCTCATTGGAGCATAAGCCTGCCAAGGGCTTTCTTTTGTTTCGGAGGCGGAACCTGGCGCCCTGCCCGTACGCCGATTGGCCCCGCAGGCCGTCTGCCGCCAGCCCCGGACATTGCTACATCTGATTCTCGCGCGCCTATTGGTATTGGAGAGCGATCCTTTAGGGTCGGGGGCGGAAACGCCGAGGAGGCCCGCCGTGGATTGGACGGTGTCAAAACGAGGGGCGGTCCTTACTGGCCGGGCGGTTGGACAGTGAAAGGAGAGTCTTTTCAGCGCTGAGGACTGGCGCTGAGGAGGCGGCGGTGGCTCCTGGAGCGTTTGAGCGGGCTCATCCGAGCCCGCGGGCCAACGCGGATCCAGGCCCGACCGGCGGGACAGCCCCGGATTCCCCGCGGGCCTTCCTAGCCGCCATGGAGGACGGTGTCTATGGTAGGCCGGGGAGGGGCGGGGCCGGCGGCGCCCCGAGGGTGCATTCCCTGTCCGCCGCCCCGCAGCCAACGAGCCCTCCGGACGCGCGGCGCCTAGCACCCGGGCCTGTACTCGCCTGTCGGCGGCGCAGGACGGGCTTCCGGCGGGTTGCAGAACGGGGCGTTCCAGGCCATTGTTTGGGCCGAGCCAGTTTCCGGCGGCGGCGGGAGGGGGCGGAATGGAGCTGGAGGCGCGGCTTGGGCCGACTCAGACCCTCCGAAGGGGCAGGCAAATCCCAGCGCCTGCGGGGCACAGAGAGGCTCCTGGGACATAGTAGCGGGGGGAACCTCGCGAGCTCAGGAGACCTCGCTAAGGCGGGGGCGGCGGCTCCGGTGCTCGTCCCTCCTTCCCCAACTCTTTCAAGCTGACAGCAGCTACCCCTGCCGTCGTCACTTTTCATGGGCCCAAGAGTCCTGACGCCCAGGCTGTCTTGTCCTCGCCTCCCAGGAGCCCAGGCCCCCAGCTACCTCACCAGTTATGGAGTCAGAAAACCAAGGCTTCAGCCCCTTTCCAAGTAATGAGCCCAGAACTTCAGACTTTAGCTCTTTCCTCCTCTTAGACCCAAGAGCTCAGGTTTTCCCCGGTCCCTCAGACTCAGGAGTCTGGGTCCCAAGTGCCCTCCTCCAGCCCTTCTGCCCTGGATAAGGAATCCAGACCCCCCACCTTCTTAAGACAGACATGGACAGCCCTTTCTCATTCCCCCAGCCTCATCTCCAGGGTTGCAGGATAGCTGCAGGGTAGTTCTAAGAACTTGATTTCTAAACCCTGACCCTCAGAACCCCCGGACCTGACCCCTGAGGAGCGGATGGAGCTAGAGAACATCCGCCGGCGAAAGCAGGAGCTGCTGGTGGAGATCCAGCGCCTCCGGGAGGAGCTCAGCGAAGCCATGAGCGAGGTGGAGGGTCTGGAGGCCAATGAGGGCAGGTGAGGCTGGGGCAGGGAACTTGGGGGGCTGGGATGTGGCCAGGGCCAGGAATGTTCAGGCATTGACCCTCAAGCCCCCAACCCCACCCTGCCTTCTACCCCTGCAGTAAGACTTTGCAGCGGAACCGGAAGATGGCGATGGGCCGGAAGAAATTTAACATGGACCCCAAGAAGGTACTTGGGACCACGGAGGTGGGATTAGGCAGGCAAAGGGGTTCTTGCACCTCAAAGTTGTAAAAATGTGACAGGTACAGGTGGCAGGCTGATTGCCAGTTTGTTTTGAGGACACTGCCTAAGTGTGCCAGCCTGTCCCTATTCCAGATGCAGTCCAGGTCCCGAGAGGACCTTGAGTGTGGAAGGGGTTATGGCCAAAATGACGTGCATAGGGACTGCATAGTAAACTAGTGCCCCTGTGGAGGGAATTGCTGGGGGCGCACCCAGAGACAGGAGCTTAGAAGATCCTGAGGAGGAGACATTTGATCAAGTTTGAGGGATGAGTAGGTGTTCACCAGGTGGAGAAAAGACATTTCTACAATGTGTCATTCAGGCTGGCCACAAACTGACTTTGTAGATCAGGCTGGCCTTACACTCACAGTGATCCTCCTGCCTCAGCCTCCCAAGTGCTGGGAATTACAGATCTTCACCACCAGTCCTGGAGGAGGAAGTAAATTTGTTCACTTACTTCATACTCATTGCATGAGGCCTCTCAGAAGCCTGATTTTGCTAGACAATACTGAGGACCTAGAGAAGAATCCAACCTTCCCCAAAGAGGGACCCTAGACATTGATACCACAGTTGTGAGGCAGCTGTAATGGCGAACTCAGCACTGCATAGGGAGAGCCAAAGAAGGATCCAGTCACACCTGGGATTGTACACTCACAGACTTTGACAAGAGAGCAGTGCTAACAGCCTCGCTCTTTATTCATGCCTATGGCAGTTATAGTTTGTTCGGTCATTCACACATTGAGCCCTGTTGAGGCCAGGGTGAATTTAGATGTCAAGGTTCACGAGGAGGTGAGGGAGCTGGGACTTCTGGCCCTCCACACTGAGACCTCCAACCCCGCCCCAACCAGGGCATCCAGTTCTTGGTGGACAATGAGTTGCTGCAGAATACACCTGAGGAGATTGCCCGCTTCCTGTACAAGGGTGAGGGGCTGAACAAGACTGCCATCGGGGACTATCTGGGGGAGAGGTGAGCTACCTGCCCTGCGCCTGCCTGCACTGCACAGCCCTGAGTGGGAATGCCCCACCTTCGAGAGACAGGACTGCCATGAAGCGGACTGACCACAGCACTGTGGGTGTGGGACTTCCAACGGTGTCTTGGAGGTGGGGGACACTGCCTATATCTGGTGGCACAGAGACAGCTTAGGGACCACATATGGATGCCAGGAAATGTGGAGACTGTGGCAGTGGTGCAGGGAACTGGGCCCCCGTGGACATCTAGCAGTCAGGGACCTGTGACTGACACTGGGGACCTGGAGCTCTCTGTGGACATCTGGGGTCATAAGGAGGGGCCCATGGGGACCAGGACAGGCTATCTGGAGCTTAGGGAATGCTGGAGATAGGCAACCTGCATGTGTCTTGCCACACTTCTCTCCCTGTTCAAAGATCCAACAAAGCAGGGCTCTGAAGGCATACCCCCTCAGATGGCAGCCCACTCCCCTCTGTGGGGGCACCTCCAGCACTGCTCCCAGACACCCTATGTGACTGTGTTTGCCTTCTCCTCCCAGAGAAGAGCTGAACCTGGCCGTGCTCCATGCCTTTGTGG